CTGGCCTCCACGTGTCTGAGGCGCCAGGATCCAGCAACATCACTTGCCCACTGGGCCTGGAAGGACCATGCTATAGACTGAATGTTTGTGCTCCCCTCGCCTTTGTATGTTGAAGCCCTACCCCCAGTGTGATGGTATTTGAAGATGGGGCCTTTGCGAGGTAATGAGGTTTAGATGAGGTCATGAGAGTGGGGGCCTTCATGATGGGATTAGCGCCTTTATACAACCCGAGAGCTTGCTTTCTCTCTCTCCTATGCGAGGACAAAGCAAGAAGACTGTTAGCAAACCAGGAAGAGAGCTCCTGCCAGGAAGTGAACCAGCTGATACCTTGATTTTGAACTTCCCAGACTCCAGAACTGTGAAAAATAAATGTCTGTTGTTTAAGTTACCCAGTTCATGGTGTTCTGTGATGCAGCCCAAGAAGACTAAGACAGAGCAGGTGTCTACAGATGGGAGTTCTACTCTCTCCAGGGTCCAGCTCAAATGCCACCTGCTCCGAGATATTTTCCCATATTTCTCCAGGCAGAATTTCTCCTTTCCACAAGCCTCCGTTTGTGCTTCAGTTGTAACGCTTAGCACAGGTCTTCCTTGAAACAGTCATGTATTCATCTGCTCTCACTTTATTTCCCCCAACTCTGCCCTCTTCGGACCATTTCACTTCCTAAATCAATCCTAACTGAGGCAGAAAGTACTTAATTAAGTTGTTCTGACAAGTCATTTGACTGGCCTTAACGTTAACGTGTCATGTCAGCTGTAGGACAGTTTCCCGATCTTTACAATTCTCTCTCCTCCCTTTTCCTTGGATTACCAATACACCTGATTTTTGTACATTAGTTTCTGAGACCAGTTCTGTCCCACTGCCACCCCTTCCCTTCTTTTGGCATGAGTATAGCCTATGCAATATTTGGGACATACTTATACTAAAAAATTATTTGCTTTTAATCTGAAAATTCAAACTCAACTGGACACTCTGTATTTTTACTTGCTGAAGCTGGCAACTTTACCCCTCCCCCCCAGCATCTCATGATCAAGTAACCTATGTAAGAGGGCTGTGTCCTTTTCTTGCCTGTACCTCTTCTTGAGGACTACAGTCCTGTCCCTGAAGCTAAAGGCTCTAGTCCAGGGACCGAGGCCTTCCCTTTTACATTGCAATCGCTTCTCTGGCTGGATCCCCAGTGCCATTCATTCTACCCTCTGGTCTGAACCTCTGCTGTCAGCGCAGCTTGGAGCTCATCCAGGTCTGAGTGCAGCCTGTCTCCTGAGCTGAGCCTGTCCTATCTTGCCTCCAGAAAACCCCATCATTTATAGATGACTCCCAGGTTTTGACTGGGATGTATATTTCTCACCGGATTGTGACTCCTCAAAGGGCAGGGATTATTGCCCAATGAAGCCTAGCATCTGGCATGATGCTTTACACATCGCTGGTGCTCAATATATTATTGTTAACCTAAACTTGAAAGGTGGCGTTATGGGTTGAATTGCGTTCACCCCCAAATATATGTTGAAGTCCTAACCCCAGTTCCTCAGAATGTGATCTTATTTGGAATTAGGGTCATTGCAGATGTAATTAGCTAAGATGAGGTCACACTGATGTAAGGTAGGTCTTTAATCCAATATGACTGATGTTCTTATAAGAAGAACAGAGAGACACAGCAAAGAGGGTGTCATGTAAAGACACAGAGACACACAGAGGGAAGACAAGCTGTGTGAAAACAGAGGCAG